AGGATTCCCGGGCGAACGACGACATCGAGATCGTCGTCAACGTGGGGGGCGTGCGGCAGGTGCTGTACGGAGATCTCCTCAGCCAGTACCCTGAGACCCGGCTGGCGGAGCTCATCAACTGCTTGGCTGGGGGCTACGACACCATCTTCTCCCTGTGCGACGACTACGACCCCGGAAAGCGCGAGTTCTACTTCGACAGGGACCCAGACGCGTTCAAGTGTGTCATTGAGGTGTACTATTTTGGGGAGGTTCACATGAAGAAGGGCATCTGCCCCATCTGCTTCAAGAACGAGATGGACTTCTGGAAGGTGGACCTCAAATTCCTGGACGACTGCTGCAAGAGCCACCTGAGCGAGAAGCGCGAGGAGCTGGAGGAGATCGCGCGCCGCGTGCAGCTCATCCTGGACGACCTGGGCGTGGACACGGCCGAAGGCCGCTGGCGGCGCTGCCAGAAGTGCGTCTGGAAGTTCCTGGAGAAGCCCGAGTCTTCGTGTCCCGCGCGGGTGGTGGCCGTGCTGTCCTTCCTGCTCATTCTCATCTCGTCAGTGGTCATGTGCATGGGCACCATCCCCGAGCTGCAGGTGCTGGACGCCGAAGGCAACCGCGTGGAGCACCCGACGCTGGAGAACGTGGAGACGGCGTGCATCGGCTGGTTCACGCTGGAGTACCTGCTGCGCCTCTTCTCCTCGCCCAACAAGCTGCACTTCGCCCTGTCCTTCATGAACATCGTGGACGTGCTGGCCATCCTCCCTTCTACGTGAGCCTCACGCTCACACACCTGGGCGCCCGCATGATGGAGCTGACCAACGTGCAGCAGGCAGTGCAGGCCCTGCGGATCATGCGCATCGCCCGCATCTTCAAGCTGGCCCGCCACTCTTCTGGCCTGCAGACTCTCACATACGCCCTCAAGCGCAGCTTCAAGGAACTGGGGCTGCTGCTCATGTACCTGGCGGTGGGCATCTTTGTCTTCTCCGCCCTGGGCTACACCATGGAGCAGAGTCACCCTGAGACCCTGTTTAAGAGCATCCCCCAGTCCTTCTGGTGGGCCATCATCACTATGACCACTGTCGGCTATGGTGACATCTACCCCAAGACCACGCTGGGCAAGCTCAACGCGGCCATCAGCTTCTTATGTGGGGTCATCGCGATTGCTCTGCCCATCCACCCCATTATCAACAACTTTGTCAGGTACTACAACAAGCAGCGAGTCCTGGAAACGGCCGCCAAGCATGAGCTGGAGCTGATGGAGCTTACCTCCAGCAGTGTGGGCGAGGGCAAGGCAGGGGGCTCCCGCGGTGACTTGGACAACCTCTCGCCAGAGCCCCCGGGGAAGGAAGCGCCAAGCTGGAGCAGCCGGCTGAAGATCTCCCACAGTGACACCTTCATCCCCCTGCTGACCGAAGAGAAGCACCATAGGACCCGGCTCCAGAGCTGCAAATGATGAGGGCCGTCCCAGACACAGACGGACTGGGCCAGTGGATGGATGGACGGAAGGGTGCCACAGGCCTGCCAGTGACTGCCAGGGAGGGGCTGTCCTTTGTCCCCCAACCCTCTCCTGAACAGAACTCTGAAGGCCCTCTTGGGCACCTCTGATGAGGCTGGGTAAGATCCCTTTGTGTTGCCAGCTGTCCAGGGGCCCAGGGGGAGGGTGGGGTGCCCACGAGTCATGGGCAGCGTGGGGTGATGGAGACCATGGTCTGGCTGATGGCAGTTCTCACCTGGTTCTGTATCTCCTTCAATAAAGCCTCCTGCCCTCTGCACCTGCCCGTGTCGTAGGTTCTGTCACAGGCTGGCTGCCCACCCCACCCCACCCCACCCCACCCTCAAATCCCAGATGTTGCTCAGGCCCGCCTGGGAGGTAGGTGTGCAGCCAGCCCAGGGGGTTATTTTTAGTTGAGAGCTAATTAAAGAAGGGCTTGTACACAGGGTTCAGCACAAGGAGCCTTGCCACATTCCAGGAGGCTCTGTGCCTTCTGTTTCCTTCTGAGGGAAAGCTTTCTCCCAGGAGGGGAAGAGTTCACGGAACAGGGAACACCATGCAGCCGCGTAATTACCATTTCTTTATCACCTGTGCAAGGCCCCTTTCAAAACTTCTTTCCATTCCTTCCAGCAACCCTGCTAGATAGGTATCCCCATTTTACAGAAGAAGAAACTGAGGCCCAAGGTCACACAGGGCAGGGATTCAGTCCCCCATCCGATGATCCTGCTCTCTTTTCTCTGTGAGGAGGTCTTGGGACAGAGGCATGTGCTTGGGCCCACAAAGGGGAGGTTCTACAGACCAGGAGAGGCGGTGAGCCTCCTTGGGGTAGACATGACTGTCTTCCAGCTCATCCTTTCTCTTAGAACCACTACCTCTGAGGTCTCAGCTGCACGGACAAACCTGAGCACGCCCCCAGTGACACACTGCCAGCCTGGTCCAAGATCCCCAGGAACAGAGTCAGACAGACCTGGGTTTGAATTCCAGGGAAGGAGGAGGCAATCTCTGAGGTGCCTTCTAGCTTAGACACTTTTCTCTACTGTTCCTCCCCCACCACTCCCTCACCTGCTGTGTGAACTTAGGCCTGCTGATTAACTTCTTTGATCCTTATTTTGATCATTTATTAAGTGGAAGAATTACCTCAGGGAATCACAGTGCTTAACACAGTGCCTGGCACACCGTGACTGCCCAGTAAACGGCAGGCGTTTCCATTACTGTGTGCTGGGATCGGGTGACCAGCTGCCCACTCTGCCCTCCACCAGGCTGGGCTGGTGTGCAGATGGGGGAGGGGTGGGGTGGGCACTGTCACCCTGTTCTTAGTCAAAGGCAGTCCTCTTGGCACAGAGCTGGACCCAGCAGTCCCCTCTCTCTGACTTTTTTACCTTCCACTCACCCCAGAATTCTGCTCTTCCTTCCCCTCCGGAGCCAGCTGGTGCAGAGGGAGTTGCCCTCTTGGGGGGAAGCGGAGGACTAGGAGGGGGAAGAGAGGACATAGTCTCTGGTCTGCACCACCTTAGGCAGGCCTTTCCTTCCCTGGTCCCTGGTTTTCCCTTATGAATGAAGAAGGATGGCTTCTCGGGGCCCCTTCCAGGATTTGGTGTTGTAGGGGACCTTGGAGGGAGGACTTGGGAGAGAATCAGAGCCATCCATGTGGGGTGCGGGGCCCTGAGCCACTGTTCGGCCTCCTCCCTCACTCGTTTCTCCAGGCAAGTGATAGGCCAGGTGACCATGGAAGGCAGAGGGGAGCCGGGGCTGTGGGACCCAGTGGGAAGGAGGAGAGGTGTCGGGAAGAGGGATTGGTGGGCAACCCTGGGGCTCAGTGGGGCCTGCTGAATGTGACTGAATGGGGTGAGGTCACCTCTCTTCGTCCTCCTGCCCCCAGAGTCCTTGGGAAACCCCAAACCGGTGCTGGCAGGAGGGCTCTGAGCCCAGAACAGGGAAGAGGCTCAGGGGTTGGAGAGAGGCCAGAAGGCACCTTGTCTTCTGCTCTCCTGGAGTCAGGAGAGAGTGTCTTGACAGCTACAAAAGCACTCTAAGCCCATCTCATCCACTCTAAGGAGGAGACTGACTCCTAAGACGGTGAGCAGTTCGACTGGTCTCCCTAGTGAATCGGGATCAGGCAGGGTCCTGGACCCAGAGGGACTTAGAGCGTGACATGCTTATGTAGTGGCATGCCTGATTGTGGGTGAGTGACCAGAGGGCTTTGGGAACCAGGTTGGAAGGGCATCCCTCTCTCCCTGGGGAATCTATCTGTGGCACCTCAGAAACTGCTGGGGAGCTTTACAAAAATCCCAGTGTCCAGGCTGCATCCACACCTATGACATTAGAATGCCGAGGTGAACCCCCCAAGCATCAGTATTTGTTTAAACTTTAAAGCGCACACGAGTCATCCAGAGATCTTACTAAAATGCAGACTTTGAATCAGTCGCTCTGAGTTATTTCCTGTAATTCTGGGTAAATCCCTGTAATTCTGTGTTTCCAACAAGCTCCCAGAAGAGGCTGATTCTGCCGGCCCACTGACTGCTCTTTGAGTAGCAAGAGGCTGGAGGAGGAGCTTGCCAACTATCCCCCTTACCGTGTTTGTCCAGTTCATGCGTTAAGAATGGCCAACCTTGTGGGTTACAGGAAATGATCCCTAAGTCAGGCCTTGAAGGATGAGTGGGACCCACTCCCCCAGAAGCAAAAGCAGGGGATCTACGTGAGCAAAGACACACAGCATGGGGTCCACCCCAGAGAAGGCGAGACCGTGTCCGTCTCCCAAGGCCTTGGGGTCACAGCCTTCCAACTTCTTTCCCCCAAGAACCCCCAACTCCTGGTTTCCCGCTTGAGGTCCGTGCTCCTGGCTCCCACTCTGAGAGATGCTCCTGCTCCTGCTCCTGCTCCTTTCTCTCCTTTCCCTTCTTTCCTCTTATCAAATCCCACCCCTCCCCCAACTCCATCCTGGGACCATCGCCTAACAGCCTCTTTGACTCAGGAGAATCTGACAGACCTCCAATGACCTGTTCATTTCTATTGAAAGAGGGAGAGAGAAGAAGGTATGTTTCTTGGAATCACAGACTATCCAGGTTAAAAGGAAAATAGGCATCATCTCGTCTACCCCCTCCCTGGGCTCCTGCATCATAACTGACAGGAAAATTGTGTCTCCAAATCTTGTAGAGTTGAGTAAAGAGGGCTTAATTGAAGGTCTGAAGGTCACAGCCAGATGGAGGGGTCAAGCTCATTCTAAGTCTCCTAAATAAACTCATCTCCAAAATAGAGAATTGTGAATGCAGGACCGTGTGTGTGTGTGTGTGCGTGTGTGTGTGTGTAAAAACAAATAATGCGGTGAGCTAGTCATCCTCAGTTTCACAGATGGGGAAACCAAGGCCCAGAGAGCAGAAGCAACAGGCTGGTGGCTGTCCTGCTCCCTGGTGGCAGAGGTAGGAGCGGTGCCCACAGCCCACAGCCCACGCTCATCCAGAGCCAGACGGTGATGCTCTCCTGGCCTCCATCACAACTCAGCGAGCTTCCTAATAAGGTGCAGGATGTCATCATCTGATCTCCCAGGAAGGCCTCACTGCAGATGGACTGGTTCTGGTGGTGGTGTTTTTAAGGAACGAAAGAGAAGGAAAAGGAAAACATTTTTGGGGGCAAGCAGCTTTGGACCAGATGCTCAGGCCACGCTGAGTTCAGGATCCATTTTGGCAATTGTAAGAGGTGTCTGGAGCTTAAGACTTACCATCTGGGGTTTGGCGGTACCACACACAACCTAGAAATGAAATGCCCAGAAAATGGGGGAAAAAATCCATGAAAATGGCAAGACCTGGAATTATTTCACCCACGCTCCCTGAGGAAATCTGACAGAGGCAGGTAAGACCCTAGCAAGTGCCCGGGGTTATGGGGATGGGCTGATTTAAAGTGTTCCTGCTAATGAGGCAATTTCAGCTGATGGCAGGACAGCATGGGGCATGGTTTTGAGGCGGGAGCCCCTGCTTCCCCCTCCCTCTGGCTGGGAAGGGGCTGCCCGGTCCTCCTCCCTCCCAAGAGGATAATTCAATGTCTCCCCAGTCTCCTGCCATCTCCCAGGGAGACGAGGGACAGGTGTGCCCAGAACAGCTTCCCACCTTTCTGCCTGTGAGAAGACAGCTCTGTGCACCACACTCTGTGCTGGTGGGAATGTGTCTGGCAGCAGATTTAAAAGGGGATGTCGGCCATATACATAATCTGAGACAGAAGCTCCCCTAAATGCTTTCCTCTGATTGCAGCAGCCTAAGAAGGAGTCACAGGGATGCTGTGGGTTTCCAAAAGGAGGAAAAAAAAAAAACAAAAATAAGAATTAGGAGACTTTATACTCTGATATTTCGTTGTGGGGTTTTTTTATGATTCTTTCTTTTAATCGAAGTATAGTTGATTTACAATGTTGTGTTCATTTCTAATGTTCAGCACAGTGATTCAGTTATACACATACATATATTCCTTTGCCATCAGCCAGCCAGACTTGGAGCCTGGCTGCCATAGCCATAGCTTTATTTCCCTTTGTCAACAATGGGCCTGAAGGGAATGGCTGGTCTGGCTTCAGGCGAGACCTGTGTGTCACGTCTGTGTGCCTGTGGTCACACAGCTAAAGAGAAGTCAGTATGCGACTCCAGCTTGGACCTGGTGCCCGCAGCCTGGCAGGGCAGCATCACATTCTGAGGAACAAGCTTAGCCTCTGGGTCCCTTCCCAGGGAGAGGTTGGGAAGGAGAAACCCACCCTGAACGGGAGCTGCCAGCAGCCACATCTTGTCTCCGGATGCAAAACTGTGATGCTGTTAACAGGGGCTTGGCTGGGGAAAGGGAACCTGTCCTGCTGTGGTGGCAGCCAGATCGAGAAGAAGGTGGAAATATTAACACACAGGCTGGTTTCTGCTGGTGCACGTGTAGGCTAAGCCATTGGGAGCCATTGCCCGAAGCCAGGGGTCCTTGTTTCTGCTGTATTCAGCTTACCTGGCTCCCTGCTAGACTTGGTGGGGCAGCTCTGACCTGGCCTTAGACCGCAAGCCCCAGGTGGCCCAGCCAGATTGCAGGTCAGCTGGAGCCCCTAAGCTGCTGTCTGCGCCTTGCACCTGAGTAGGAGTGGGAGGTATGAGCCAGAGCCCGTCTCTCCCTCCCTGTTTTTGTCTCCCCAACCAGAGGCGAAGTCTAAACTGCTAGGCTTGGCCCTCAAGGCTGCCACCACACGGCTCCAGATACCCCTTTGGCTTCATCTCTCAGTGCCCCCAATCCCCTCACCCCTCCATCACACCAGACCAGGCGGCTCTTTCCACTCCACACACTGGAGAGCTGGGGCTCCCTGCCTGTGCACAGGGGACTCCCACTTTTCCACTGGCAGCTTCTACCCCTGGGTCCAGACCCAGCTGCAATGCTGTCCTTCCCACTCAGAGTTGAGGCTAGCCCCTGCATGGCATCTTGGCTCTGCGGGGGCATAAACCATGCTGGAGAGATCTTGGAGTCACTCACTTCACTTCACTCAGGAGAATGGACCCTGGGGAGGTCACAGGATGGCTGGAAGTCACCCTGGGTTGGCAGCAGTCGGAACCAGAGCCCAGATCCTGTCTCGGTGCTCACCTGCCTGCCCTCTCTGTCCACTGCCCACCCACTCACGCCCACCCACTCCTGGCTACAGGTTTGAGCCAAGAGTCGGAGCTGAGGTTTTAGAAATTAGACTGAAAGGTGGCCCCAAGTACAGCTCCCCCATTATTCGCACCTGTAGTGAGCCAGGGCATTGGGGCAAAGCCCAGGGCTGGCTGCCTGAAAGCACTTTGCAGACTTCATTTCAAACCTTCGTTGAAACCTCCTGGCCTTTTAAAGCCTTGAAGTTCACAGTCAGAGTGAGGGGCACACTTCATTCTGCTCCCACAAAGCGCACAGTGCAAGTGCAGGGTGTGAGTGTGTGCAGGCGAGCCAAAGCAAACCAAAGCCTGCCTTCTAACTGAAAGGAGGGAGACGCTGGAGCGCCCTGAAGCCACTCTTTCCCTCTCTAGTTTCCTGCCTTTCCCATGAGCCTGGTTCACAGCCAGCAAAGGCAGGGACTGCAGACAGCTCTACTTCCCATCCCCAGGAGCACCAGCCACACTCTGCTCCTGGACTAGACCGACATGGAAAGTGGGAGGCGCGAACTCCGAACATCCTTCTCAACTGGCTGCCCGGAGTACAGCCAGAGACCAGTCTCTCCTGATAATTGACCTTTTAGTACATTTTCTAGGAAACTGAAGGTCAGAGAGCTTAATCAACTTGTCCAGGATTTCCCACCAAAAGGGGTCAGTCCCTCCCTGGGGATGGACATCCTTGCTGTCCAAGCCTCTCCT